AATCTCTCAGGAACAGGTTTTAAGGTGGCTGAGGACACCTCATGGACTTCCCAGGGAAACTATGCAGTGGCTGATGTACAAAAATCCCAGGTACTGGCAATATGTCACAAATGTTCATGTCAGTATCCTGTAAAAACTCCCAAACAAACTTTAACTGAACAATCTTAAAGACTTTGAGTACATCATTTGAAACTCTCATTATAATCCCTCATTCATACATGCTGGTTTACTGGTATGTGACTCTGAGAGGTCCTGTGCACCTGGCTTGTTAAAATACAATATATAAAGTAAAGAGATTGGTTTAAATGTAACTATGGCAACTGCTTTAGAGCATACATTTAACTACCTATCTGTGCCTTTCTTCATTGTACTGCCTCATTTTCTCTATTCAGTTCTATTAGGTCTTGTCCTCCATCCCTCCCTCCTCTTTTTCTCCTCTCTGCATGTCCTCTTGGCTTCAGAGCTTGTGGGCATAGTCCCAAGTGGGTTCTGTATTCCCAGCTCCGCTTCTCCCTGTAAACTAACCGAGAAAGAACCCTTATTGGGCAGCTGCTCTCTCAAGTGCCTCCACACCCTCTGCTTTTGAAATGGAGATCAAGCATAAGAGTGCTTTTTGGCAAGAAGGAAAACAGGAGGCAGTTGTGATGCCAAAAGTGTTCATAGTCTGATATCCATAGCCAGCCGGCCCGCTCATGGCACTCCAGGCAGTTTAAATGAAGCCAGGTTGTGACAGTGGGATGGAGAGAGCACTCCAGAAGAGATCAGACAAACCACTCACTGCACGCTGTGGCTTTCATGTCGTGGGATAGTGCTTTTGGTCCACTCGTCTGCTGCAATTTCCTTTTTGTTTCTAGATGTTTGTATGAAATCCCCCATTATGCTGCATTTAAATGACACTAGTACAGTGCTGGTGATTAATTAGCTTGTTTTTTCTGCATGTTGCTGAGAGTGATTACCCAATTCATACCTGGTGACAGCCTGCCTGGTGGGCATCAATCTTTGTGTGCCTTTTTAAAAGAGAAAAGCTCATTCCAGATGTACCAAAACCAACCTGCCGCAAATACCTTTTAAGTATAAATCTCAAACTTCTTGGAAGTAGCACAAGAAATTCCTTCACTGTCAAGGCTTTTTTTGTTAACAAATACTCCAAACTAACACCTGTTTTACTGATCAGGTCAGTAACAGGGGAAAGCGCTTCTTCAAAACAGGAGAAAAGACATTCAAGCAAGCTGTGATCCTGACAAAATCTAATATTCGGCATCTGTATTACTATATTACAAATTGTACTAATGTTCACTTAAAGCTGCTACAAGGAGAAATTTGATTTCTGTTGATCCTGGTGTCCCCTGTGGATAAAAGCACCGGTTCCCAACCTGGGGGTCCCGACTCCTCTCTGATGCAGTGTTCACAGGAAATAATCTGCTCAAAATTCATCCAAACCACTCTTTTTACTCAAACTTCCTGCAGTTATTGCATATTCATTATCAGTTGTTCTGGCCTGTTGTTGTTATGCATTGAAAATAATATATTCATAAAATTTGTCAATTAGTGTGGAGTCGGCAGTTTACTCAGTGATGAAAAAGGTGTCCCTTAAGGAAAAATGTTGGAAAGCGGTGATATAGAGGCATCAGTATTAAATTGAAACTAGTTCAAAACTCCTTCTAGTACGTTTAAGCAACAGCAGCTGAATTGCACATAACTGGTGTTATTCATGTTGGGTCCACAGGGTGGCAGCAGAGTGTCAGGAATGTGCGGAGGCTACTGTGGTAAATGTACACCGTCCTCTGGCTCCAGCCTGCCAGTATCAGTGGAATACATCTAATACCATCAGACAAGTATGTGATGCTTTCTAAATGCACCAACAATACTTTCATTTCAATTATAAAAGGCATAAATGACAAGGGCTTAGCCCCACCACTGAAATTCAAAGCATGTGACTGGAACCGGCTGTTACTCACAAACTAATGAGGCCTTTATTAAATGTATGTATTTTCAGTCATCAAAAAGTTGTAAATCTTTTCATTAACCTTTAAGTTATGTATGCGAATACACCTGTCACCTATATGGTTAAAAATGACAGAGACATCGGACAGCTAATTATCAATTAGTTCATATTATAAAATTTGCAATCTGTTCAAAAATTTGTATTTGTCCAGTTTTTAATGAGTAACTGATTGAGTGTTAATGTTGTCTCCATGTATGTTCTTTAGCACCTATTCCCATTCATCTCGACAGTTCTCTTCAGGTGCTTGTCGTGTTCAAAACATCCCTCGTCTTTGGTGCTACAGCCAACTCAGAGCTTAAACCCGTCCTTCACATGACCTCTTTTACTCCTGTGTGTGTATATTGTAAATTAATCTGCTGTAAGTACTGTACATAGCAGGATACAAATGTCTTATTTATTGTACTCTCCATTTATTTTTGTATTGTAATATAATTTAACAGTTGCCATTTATGAGATTTTTTTTTTTTTTTTGCCAGATTGTCCCTTCCAATTTAGATATTTGCTACCTGGACTTTTTAGTACTACTCCATAGTGCATGTGTTACAGCCATGTGTTCTTTTCAAAACTAATTCAGTGAGTTATGTTTATTCCAATAATGTTATTGTTGTGATGGGCCTGTTGTCCATATGTAGCAAGGTGTCTCCAATCAGTGGGTCTTTTTTTTTAAAACCTTTTTTTTGCTTCAGGCAAGATTTTGGGGACAGTACAGATGCCCAATATAAGCACAGAGCCATGAGCAGCTCATTTAGAAGACTTTTTTGGTTTAGGGAAGTTGTAAGTCTTCGTCCACAGCAGAGAGCATAGTGCAGGCTTGTAAACTGTATCAGGTGCAACAATAACACACTGCAGGATACTGAATTTGGAAAAGACACTACAGGGATGAAGCCAATTCATGATCCATACACCAGCATCAGTGTCATTCTGAGCTGAAAAAAAAGATCACAGCTTCAACCTCTTTGCAGGAGGACAGGTATGGGAGAGCAACTGTGAGTCAGTTGAAGGGTCTGATCGTGTATTTTTATAGCTTTAAAGAATGAATGCGTCAAGAAGGGGTTGGTGTGGACGTAGGTTTTACAGGCCAGACCTTGGGAGGAAGTGAGATGTTTACTCATACACAAACACAGTGCAGTATTACACATAAGTACAAACACACTGGAACACATTACTGGACCACAAGGAGAAGGCTGTAGGTTACAAGAACTGTAGAGATTATCCTGCCAGACATCAGAGAGAACCGAATCCCTCTGTGTTCTTGCATATCTCTCAGGTAGCGTTCAGTGACCAGAGAGAGCCATTAGCCTTTAGCTCTTAGAAAGCAGACAGGTTATCTTATCTGGAACAAGTTCAAAGAAAGACTTCACCCCGGGCCAATAAAATTCCAGTAGATACCCCGGAGATATAATGCATTGGTCCGGCCCTGGAGACACCTCTCAAACTGCTAAACTCACAGGCCCCGCAGCGTGCTTTCTGTCCAGATGCTGCCTGTAAACTGTTGCCTTGTGTGCCTCACATTCTTCTCTCCGTCCAAACTGTACATACCAATGTGCTTCCGTTCAGAGCATTCTGACCTGTTGTTTTTGTAACAATATCAGGGTACTTTTTGTGTATATGAATGTTTTTGTATCTCTTTCGTCAGTTTCTCTTTAGTTTATGGAGTTTTGTGAGCAGATTTTATTTTTGCAGAAACAGGAAGAAACCATACAAGTCAAGAAGGAAATACAAAAATAAATACTTTTTTTTACATTCTTGAAGCCTTAACTTTGTGTATGTAGGGTACCTCCTGTATCCATTAAGAAGCCATATTTGCTTTTAAGCCTTTCTGTATATGTTGGTATTTTATTGCCTTATGTGATAATGTGCACTCTTCAGCCAAAGGGAATTCACAGTCTTAATCTGCCACTATACAAGTATGAAACAATATTAAGACATGGAGACATGTGTCTTACAGATAGTCGCAACTGATAAATGCCCTTCTCATTGTGAATGTCAGAATTTAGTTCAGTCAGTAGAGTTCTCAGGTGTCATAAATGAAGGGATTATTATGATATTGAAGTGTATTTATCTTATTTTATAATGTACTATTGAAGTGTCATTATATATGCTTTATTATATATGCAAATATTTATTTTACCTTTTCTTTACGTGAATGTACATAGGCTTTGGCCATAAACGACTATGAAGTACCATGCAGTATCGTATAAATGAACTGTCAACACATTTCCTGTTTTGTGAATACATTTATTTATCTGTATGGCATATCTGCATAAAGTGTATAAGCAGAGTTTGGTGCTACCATATGAAAAGCATGATTTATATGAGATTAGATCCGAAGGGAATAAAATGCCTGACAAATTCCAAGCTTGCCTGTCTGCTTCTCACACAAATATATTATTTTTACTCCAGTTTGTCCTTGATGAACCAACTACAACACTGGCTGCAGAAATCCTGAACTCACAATATTCAGATTAAGGTTTGGGTCATAAAATTCGCCCTATAGTGCTTCTGCTTAATTATGATTACAAACCTTCTACCTGCATAACAGGTGGGCTTCTGACCTGGCAGAAGTGTTTTATGAATCTAATCTAGTCTCTGTCTGTTTATATATTATATATTCATAATAGTCAATTATCAGGATATCTACCAGGTGTCAGCACTGGTCTAACTATACAAATATAATTCACTGCTGAGCACATTTCAGCAGATAAAAAGCAAAGAGTCAGTGATTGTTATCAAAGGCAGATTTAAACCTCTGACACTGTAGATCCCCTCCAGACTTCAATTAGCTTCTTAAAAATTCTTAAAATTGCATTATCTCCCTCTCCCTTACTGGAAAATTCTGAATCTTGGAATATCCAAATATGGTTCAGTTCAAAAGTTTAACTGTTGGAGAAAAACTCCTACTTAACTGAAAAGTCCATTCTCAGTGTATTTGCATTGGTGGTTTCAGTTTTCCACATCACATTGGTTTTAGTGGATCATGATTGGTTTAGTGAAGTGACAAAATCGTACTCATACATACATGCCTTAAAGTCAGATATACCACAGAGAAACTTTCCCTCTTTACTTTGAGAACAGCTTTCTAGCATCAGACTTGTTATATTGCACAGTCAGAGTCAATCAATCACTGCGGGGACATGGGTCACGCCCTACCGATGACCAATCATCAAATTCCTCCATAAACTAGAAGAAAGCTAATTTCTCCATTTAATACTAAGGGTTTCAAAGACATATACTACTGAACATAATGGATGCTCTCTGAATTCCTGCTTCATTTACAGTACAAGAAACAGTGAACACAACAGATGTGTGTGCGATGCCAGGTGGGCATTTAGACACAAATTACAATTAGGACCTAAGTATTTTCCAGCATTGTACGATAAATGATCTTATACATATTTTAAAGTGAGATTTTGTTACTTTGGAAAGCAGCAATATTGTCTTACTTGGGTCTGGTATGATTAGGATCTTATGGTGGAAAATGTTAGTAAAGTTAAACTATACAGGATTTTCCTAA